CTGATAATCGATCTCCGTTCCTTTAGCGGTCTGTACAGTGAAAGGCACATGTGCTGTATTGATAACGAAAGGTAAATTCCACCTACACATTATTCTTATAAAATAAAAGTCTGGTTTTAACCAGACACCGTATAATACAGCTTGGGACACCGGTCTCCATTTCCAGTCTAGATGGAGACTGACGGATTTAAGTTGTTTGAAAACATATCACATATATTGAGTTAGTTGCTCGGCCCTAAGGTAGATGATTTTAAGACAAATTTATCTCCAAAATATTATCGGGATTGGCCCTTTAATGCTTATTAATAATGATGGTTTTCAGTGGTAGTCTATACTAAGAAAGATAGACATGAAGCCCAGAAATGTTAGCCCTTCATATAGTTCATATATTTATTTCTATCAATGAGTTTGAATGGGTTATGTCAACCGAGTAGCCTCAACTAGAACTGAAGCCTTAAAAAACAATGCTAAAAAATATTAGGAGTAGCACTAGCAGTATGTCCATTTGTCAAAAATCAGTTACCCCGTACATTTTTACGAATGTCAAGAATCAATCTGTATCAAACAAAGATGTGCGCCTACTATATAAACATTACTTACCTAAAACTGCAATGTTGGGTATTGACTGTAGTGTTCAACCATAGAACTATACCATCTATGGTTCAACTATTGTGCTCGATGCAGAGGGATTCCTCTTTGCCTCTAACTAACGGTATTCGCAGTAATGGCGTCCAGGAAGACCGATGACGTCACTCTAATTTAAGCACCCGTATGTCATATTTACGGAAGAAATTTCGACTTCTCAAATATTTACAGACTTGTGTCTGTTATCAGGATGAACTTTGATGAAGTTAGAAAGCAAACGTGCTACTCACTGAGCCACCGTAGCCCTCACTTCATTCGATTTCGGACAAGGAATCTCGTTTTTTATTTATACCATTCGAACGACTATACCACTGACAAGCCGGAACCACGACCGGAAAATGAGAACTTTGATGAAGTAAGAGAGCAAACGTCCCACTCACTGAGCCATCGTAGCTCACACTTCATTTAGATTCCGGACACGGGATCACGGTTATTTGTAGGCTATTCCCAAATGCTATACGTTGTCCCTTCTCAGGCCCTCCGTCCTAGGGTGGACATCGCCAGAAAAATCACGACGAACTTTGATGAAGTTAGAGAGCGAACGTGCCACTCACTGAGCCACCGTAACCATCACTCCATTCGATTTCGGACATGGAATCTCGTTTTTTATTTATACCAATCGAACGATTATAGGCTACCACTGAAAAGCCGGAACCACGACCGAAAAATGAGAACTTTGATGAGGTAAGAGAGCAAACGTCCTACTCACTGAGCCATCATAGCTCACACTTCATTTAGATTCCGGACACTGGATCTCGGTTATTTGTATTCCCAAACGCTATACGTTGTCCCTTCTCAGGCCCTCCGTCCTAGGGTGGACATCGCCAGAAAAATCACGACGAACTTTGATGAAGTTAGAGAGCAAACGTCCTACTCACTGGGCCACTGTAGAACCAACTTCATTTTGATTACAGGCACGGGACCTCTTTTTTTTTAATCCCATTCGAATGACTATGCCTTGTCCCTTGTCAGACTCTACATCCTACAACACTGACAAGACCACGCATCAAAAAACCCGATGAAGGTTGATGAAGTTAGAGGGAAAAGAAAGATTCGACTGAAGACTTTTAAAATCGATTACAGAATACAATACTATCTGTGCAAGAAGAGATTAAAATTGTTTAATAAGGACTATTAAATCTTCTAGACCTTCATACATTTCCGTATATAATTCATGTCCAAATATAAATGCCGATATGGTAGTCAGTGGACATGCGTATAAACTGCACTTCCGAGACGAGAAGTCGATATTGTGACGAAGCGAGGGAGCGAGAACAAGAGAAGATGAGATTGACTGAAAGGCGAGGGAAGAAGGGAGGAAGAACACAAGGTTTTTCAAAGACGAGAAGTCAAGGGCGAGAGTGCGAGAACACAAGGTTTTTCAAAGGCGAAAACACTAGGGAGCAAGAAGTCGAGGCGAAAGTAATCTTGTGTTCTCGGGGTGAGATCCTCGTATTCTCGCCCTATTTCCGCGTGTTCCCGTCTTCTCGTGTTCTCGCCCTCGACTTCTCCCGGCGAGAAGACGAGATTCTGAAATGACCGCAATAGGCTTCCATAATAATCAATATCTTCTAGTTGTGACTGATGAGTATACCCAATATGTTGTGGTTGTCGTTCTACATTCAACATCTGCAAATTGTGTTAATCCTCATTTGGACAAAATATTTGCAGAATTTGGTATACCTGAGTCTCTTGAGACTGACAACGGCCCGCCATTTAATAGTCAAGCTTTCCACTTGTTTGCTGAACATATGGGCTTTCATCATTGTAAAATTACACCCTTGTGGCCCCGTGCAAATGCGGAAACAGAAAGGTTCATGCGAACAATTAAGAAAGCGATCAAAGGTGCTCTAGTTCAAGGATACACTTGGAAACAAGAAATGTACAAATTTTTGTTGGACTATCGCACAACTCCACACAGTTCAACTGGAGTTCCACCTGCTACAGCCTTGTTCTCGAGAACAATCAAAACAAGGCTCCCTCACATAGTTTCCTCCCCAGCTGGCGATCAAAAGATGAGGGAGAAAGACAATGATTCTAAACTCAAAATGAAAGCTTATGCAGATAAGAAGTCTTATGTGCGGCCATCTGATATAAAGGTTGGATATGTGGTATTAATCAAGGAGACTTCATTGAAGAAATCATTAACACCATATAATCCAGAACCTCTTCAAGTTACTGCTAAAAAAGGGTCGATGATCACGGCATCACGTGGGAAATCTAATGTCACACGCAACAGCAGCTTCTTTAAGCAATCTCCACGTTTACCAACTGCAACAGAATGTGAGGATAGGGATTCACTTGATATAGATGAAAATGGAGCAGCAGATTCAGAAAATAACAACTATAATGTGAACTTTGATAGGCCTTTACCTACAGAACAGCAAACACCTTTACGTAAATCAGATCGCCATAGACGCTTACCTAGCAGATTCCAGAATTATGTGTTAGCATAAACATTGTAATTTGTAAATCTAAAAAAAAACTGTGGGGCCAGTTTTAAAATGTTCAGTTTTATTATGTATGTTTTATTTCGTGTTTAGCTAAAGAGGAGGGTGATGTAGTGAAGCTGTTTATGACTGTAAATACAGACCTATTAAATTCTAGTAGTCTGATTCCACATATGTGTATGGATGCCATTGGATGGTGTCCCTTGCCAAAGCTCTTATGTACGGGGGTTTTTATGAATCAAAAAGTAAAAAAACAATATCATCGTACTTCGAAGTTTCTGTTTCTTTTACCATCGACATCATAATTATCACCACCAACAGACCACATGAACCTCTAAACACTAATTCACTGAATCTTAACATTAATCATAGCAATCTCATCCAGCTCACCTCAAACTCTATCAAAAATCACAAACAGATCAAAAACTTTAGAACAAAACAGAAGATAAAGAACAATCTTATACAAGTTAGAAAGGCGGTCGAAAATGAAGCGTCAGTTTCAACAACTTCGTTTGGATTAATTAATTGATATTTGTTCATTAGGTAAATGCCTTGATGGAGTTTGGTGATAAACATTGTCTGCTTACGGTAAGCAGAGATAAGCAATCTAATTGGTTGATGCTTCGGAGCACGATAATGTTGGTTATATTTAAGTGAGAGTGACTAAGTTTGATGATGAGAATTTTCTGCTTAGCGATAAGCAATTTGATTGGTCAAGACTTTGGAACATAACAACTCTGGTTTTAATTGAGGTAGAATGTTTTAACTTGACAAAGATGTTCATTAGGTGAATGTCTTGACTGAGTTTAGTGGTTAACATTTCAAGCTAAAGCTAAGCAGAGTTAAGCAATTTCATTGGTCGATGCTTTGGGAAAAGATAACTTTGATTCTATCTAATAGAGAGTGATGAAACTTAGTGTATAGTTGATAATCAGTTTGATTGCTTGATAATTTTGAAAAATAATAAATGTGCGATTAATTAATATGTGTCATCTATTTATTTTGGGATTTCGGCGGGGGAGATCAGCCTCACTGTTGGCTTATTTTAAAATCTGTAAATTAATTTCACTTTGTCATACAAAAATAACCTGTCAAAATCTGTCTTGCCGTCACCAAATTTGGAAGCAATTTCGGGGGGCGTGTTTAAGTGGTAACGCTTGCTGTTTAACTGTGAAGAATGGTCATTTCTTATCACAGTCAATTGATTCTCTGCTGATTTGAATACGGTATAAACAATTCTTGTTTATTATTTTGTTAGCAAAAATAACAAAGCTGGCTGACATGAAAGTATCTTTCTAGACGTCCGGAGATAGCATTGTACACATTTTCAACAAGACAAAAATGAAGGTTAATAGCCCACGATGTATTGATTGACCGATTTAGATAGCTAGGCCTACTTTAGAAAAGAGGTTGATAAAGGGATCGCTGAGTTGAAAGTTAGATCGATCCATTTTCCGCGACTGCACCAAACTGAGTTTTCAAACCTTTTCACTAGTTAATTAACTTGTGCTAACTTTTACATTTAAAAAAAATGATAAATGACTTACGGTGACCTATTTCTGGCCTCCTTTAACCCCAACAAAAAATGTCTGATGAGCAAAATTTTGAAATAGCATCCCTGTTATAGACCCTACAGGTATTACAATTTTTGTCTGTTTCCCAATGAACTTAATCAGATATGTTAAGGGTCAAAAGATCTTGAATCAGTTCGATTTTGGTGTGCATCAAAACTCATCTCGAATTCAATGTGAAGCATTGGGACAATGAGAGACTGGGCCCTATTGAATTTCCCTGTTCCCCGTCTATCTCTTACTAACTGTGGGCGTATCTTACAACTGCTTGTTATTGATTGTTATTAATGTTATGTGATAAGTTTTATATTAAAAATATTTTTTCTACTTTAAGTTTACAGTTTGACTCTACACCACTTTATTCTCTACCTAAAGAATCGCGGCTATGTATAACATTAGTTGGTTTAAAATACCCACTGAATAATAACCAAGATCCAACTAATAAAATAACTCTCACTTTAGGAGGAGCTACTATACAACTATTCAGTCAGAGAAGGTATTTTTATTATGTCGTCACCCTGCTCATCCGCCCTTCTGTCCGTCCGTCCATCAAAAATAACTTTTGAATGCAATAGAGGCTAGAGTTTTTGTTGAATTGTTTTGAAATTTGGTGTGAAGCATTGCGGTTGTGAGAGGACGAAACCTGTCGATTTTCAGCTTTCCTTTTTCCGAAAAGTTTTTGACAGATTCTTTTCAAATTTGGTGTGAAGTAACACCGTTCGACTTTCAGGGAATGTAGCTTGTCGACGTGTGTTCTCTAAGTTTCAGAAATGAATACAGATTCTTGGAATGGATCTTCAACACTTTATTTCAGGAGGAAATAATTAACAGCAACAATTTAACAACTTATAATTTCATATATATCGGACCTCCAACTAGTATGTTCCCTAATCTGGTCTCTCCAACTAATGTCATCATCTAACATACATTTGTCTATTTATACAAATCAGTTACTTAGAAAGTGTTGACATCTATATATATATTTGTGACTGTCGTTTGTCTGTCTGTCTTTCTGTCTGTCTGTCTGTCTGTCTGTTCGGGGTTGGCGGCTACACTAGGTCTGCCCCGAGTCTGAAATTTGGGGTATAGGGGTAGCTCGGACCGGGGAGTAATATAGGCCAGGTGGCGTTAGTCTACCACTTTCGGTTTCGGAGTTATGACCCCCGAGCGAAGCCGGTCTGTTCGGGGTTGGCGGCTACACTAGGTCTGCCCCGAGTCTGAAATTTGGGGTATAGGGGTAGCTCCGACCGGGGAGTAACATAGGCCTGGCGGCTACATCTGCCCCGAGTCTGAAATTTGGGGTATAGGGGTAGCGCGGACCGGGGAGTAACATAGGCCAGGTGGCGTTAGTCTACCACTTCTGGTTTCGGAGTTATGACCCCAGAGCGAAGCCGGTCTGTTCGGGGTTGGCCGCTACACAAGGTCTGCCCCGACTCTGAAATTTGGGGTATAGGAATAGCTCGGACCGGGGAGTAACATAGGCCAGGTGGCGTTAGTCTACCACTTCCGGTTTCGGAGTTATGACCCCCGAACGAAGTTTGTTTGTTCGGGGTTGGCGGCTACACTAGGTCTGCCCCGAATCTGAAATTTGGGGTATAGGGGTAGCTCCGACCAGGGAGTAACATAGGTCAGGTGGCGTTAGTCTACCACTTCCGGTTTCGGAGTTATGACACCTGAGCGAAATCTGTTCGGGGTTGGCGGCTACATCTGCCCCGAGTCTGAAATTTGGGGTATAGGGGTAGCGCGGACCGGGGAGTAACATAGGCCAGGTGGCGTTAGGCTACCACTTCCGGTTTCGGAGTTATGACCCCCGAGCGAAGCCGGGTATCCTGCTAGTAAACATATGATTGTTGAAGGATTAAGATTTAAGGCATTTAAAACAATAGTTAGATGAGACTTAACAGATCAACCACTTTAGTTGCCAGCCTGTCATAATTTGACTGACAGGTTAAATGCTGCCTGCCTCTAATGACTAACCAAGCATTAATGAAAATTAAAATATAGATTTAAAATTTAAAACAGAATTGAACCAAGCATTAATGAAAATTAAAATATAGATTTAAAATTTAAAACAGAATTGAAAAATAATAAAATAACATATGACCAGGACATCGGTCATATATCCCACTTACTTCAAACAAAAACATGACCCCATGTTTTAAGCATTTAATAAAATCAAAAATCCTTATTTTTTGATTAATCAAAGTAACATTATCTATCCCTTTTTTATACGCCCACATTGAAATGTGGCCGTATATTGCCGTCGCCCCCGTCCGTCCATCGTCCACAATTTCTTGTGAACGCTCTTACGCCAAAAGTTATCATCCAATTGTTTTAAAATTGATATATGTTGTTTACATTAGTGAGATGAAGAAGCCTATTTAATTTCAATAATTTCCGTTTATTACGTCTAGAGTTACGGCCCTTGTTTCACTTTGTTGAACCTTGTGAACGCTCTAATGCCAAAAGTTAACATATGATCTTTGTGAAATTTATATGCATTATTTAAATTACTGAAACGAAGAAGCCTATTGAATTTCAGCAATTTCCGTTTATTATGTCTAGAGTTATGGCCCTTGTTACACTTTATTGAACCTTGTGAACGCTCCAACGCCAAAAGTTATCAGTCGATCTTTGTGAAATTTATATGCATTATTTAGATTAAGGAAACGGAGAAGCCTATTGAATTTCTGCAATTTCCGATTATTACGTCTAGAGTTATGGCCCTTGTTTCACTTTATTGATCCTTGTGAACGCTCTAACGCAAAAAGCTATCACCAGATCTTTGTGAAATTTATATGCATGAAATAAAATTAGTGAAACGAAAAATCTTGTTGAACTTCAGCAATTTACAATAATTACTTCTAGAGTTATTTCCCTTGTTTCACTTTGTTAAACCTTGTTAATGCTCAATTGATGATAGTTATCATCCGATATGTATGAAATTTATATGCATCATTTAAATTTGTAAAACAGATCTATTGAATTTCAGCAGTTTCCGTCAATAATTTCTAGAGTTATGGCAATTGTGAACGTTTGAATGACAAAAGTGATCATGTGATCTGTATGAAATTTATATGCATTATTTAAATTAGTAAAACGAAAAAGCCTGTCAAATTTTAACAATTTCGGTAGATAACTTCCAGAGTTGAGACCCTTGTTTCAGTTTGTAGAACCTTGTTAACCCTCAAACGACAAAATTTATAATCTGATCTGTATGGAACTGTCTTGTAAAGGCCCCCAATTACCTACAAAGGAATAAATATGCGACAACCCTTGACGACCGCTCGGACGATGTAGCTGCTGTGGGCATATGTTTTGTTGCGTGAGGCATAAAATAATGTTCTTGCAAATTGTACTGGTTAACTTTTTCATCAGGTAAACATAATTTGGGTCCTTGTAATCTATTTGAATTCGCATTTATGTATTGTTGGGCACTATAATCTAGTGAAACTATTGAAAAAAAAAGAAAAAGATGAATTTGACAGATTGGCAAAAGTCAACAAATCTGTGTTTACATCCTTGTTGCGCATGCCCATGTTACACACCGAGTGCGAGCCAGAGCCAGCCAGGCCTACACTTTATTTTGTTAAACTGACTGTGATTCGTTACTGACAAAGAATTTGCCTTTGATTACTCCAAATATGTAAAATGGTATATCAAGGTTGTGGACTCTCTAGAGGTCACAATTTGCCTTTGATTACTCCTAATATGTAAAATGGTATATCAAGGTTGTTGACCCTATAGAGGTCACAATTTTGATCCGATTTTGATGAACCTTGAAATACATGTTTATAACCCAAAGATCTGGGTTCCTTTCAAAATTGGCGCATATCGGATCATAACTTCCTGAATTATGGCCCTTGATCGCACAAAAAATCGCTTTTTGTTTTAGCCTGATCTCTGTCCATCTCTTGCAAAATGTGGGCTTACCCTGCCTGGCATCCGCTAGTATTTAAATAATTCGCTTGCGCGTAGGGATCGTAAGCAGTAGGAGGAAACCAGAGTACCCGGAGAAAACCCATGACGTTGGACAGGCGACCCTACTCCTTGTCACGTACAACCGAGGAATCTAAACCACGCTAGTTGACTCAATGACAGACCTTATGGTGCAACACGCACGCGCTAACCATTCGGCCAATGCACCTAATACTTCCCGTGATCGTAGAGACTTAAGATTGGTTGAGGGTGTTCAGTCACTAATTATGAATCACACCAAATTTCAGACCATTTTTAATGCATGAGACAATGGCATATACCTCGATGGTCTCTTTAACTATTTTAATACATGAGACCATAATATAGCACCTTGGTGGTCTCTTTAACAGTTGTAATATATGGGACTATATATTGCTAATGCACTTTCGTACACGTAGTACTTCCCTTGATTGTAGAGACTTGAAATTTGTTGGGGGTGTTCAGGGCCACTAATTATGAACTCACACCAAATTTTAGATGAATCGGTCATTAACTTTTGATTTTACACAACCTCTTTAACAGTTTGAATGCGTACTTTGGTGGTCTCTATGCTATTTTGAATACAGGAGACCATGTCTTATATCTGGATGGTCTCTTGAACAATTTTGATTTTACCCAACTTTTTCTTTTACACCCACATTTTCATGTGGACATATATTGTCGTCGCCCCTGCCCGTCCGAACATCTGCCTGTCCGTCCACAATTTGTTTGTGGACATTCTACAGATCACAATTCCTATTCGATTTGACGAAACATGAAATATAGGTTTATCTCCAAAAGATTTCAGTTGCTTTCGATATGCATGTTTATAACCCAAAGATCTTGGTTCTTTTCGATATTTGTGCATATCGGATCATAACTTTCTGAATTATGGCCTCTGATTGTACGAAAATTCGTGAATTTAACTTGTGGTCCCTCTACTAGAGGTCACAATTATTTTCCAATTGAAAAAAAACCCAACATTTGAATATATCACCGTTACACCGTAGTGATGGTTGAGATCGAATTTCGTGAAAATTGGACCAAAACTGCCAGATGAAATGGCCGCCGCTTGTACGCTAATAATAGTGTAAAAATATGGTATATCAAGGTTGTGGACCCCGCTAGAGGGTCGAAACTCTATGGATTATGGCCCCTGATTGTACGTAAAAAATCACATTTTTAGCATGTGCACAATCTGAAGGTCACAATTTTCATCTGATTTTGATTAAACTTAAAATGCAAGTTTATAACCCAAAGGTCTTGGTTCCTTTCGATATTTGTGCATATTGGATCGTAACTTCCTGAATTATTGCCCCTGATTGTATGAAAAATCACGTTTAAAGCTTGTGGTCCCTCTAGAGGTAATAATTTTTATACGCCCACATTTTCATGTGGACGTATATTGTCGACGCCCCTGTCCGTCCAGACATCCGTCCATCCGTCCTTCCACAATTTGTTTGTGGACACTACAGGTCACAATTCTTAGACGATTTTGACGAAACTTGAAATATAGGTTTATCACCGAAAGATCTTGATTGCTTTCGATATTGGCATGTATCGGATCGAAACTTCATGGATTATGGCCCCTGTTTGTACGATAAATCACGTTTTTAGCTTGTGGACCCTATAGAGGTCACAATTTTTATACGATTTTGTTGAAACTTGAAATGTAAGTTTATAACCCAAAGATCTCGGTTCCTTTCGGTATTTGCGCATATCGGACCGTAACTTCCTGAATTATGGCCCCTGATTGTACGAAAAATCGCGTTTTTAGCTTGTGGACCCTATAGAGGTCATAATTTTTATCCGATTTAAAAAATCGTATTATTATATCACCGTTACACCCTAAGGACACCTGAGTTCGAATTTCATGAAAAGCAGACCAAAACTGTCGGACGAAATGGCCACCGCTTGTACGTGAATAGTGTATCAATATGGTATATCAAGGTTGAGGACCCTGTATGGATCACAATTTTAATCCGATTTTGATGAAACTTGACATGCATGTTTATAACCTAAAGATCTTGGTTCCTTTCGATATTTGCGCATATCGAATTATAACTTCATGAATTATGGCCCTTGATTGTAGGAAAAATCACCTTTTTATACGCCCACATTGAAATGTGGACGTATATTGCCGTCACCCCCGTTTGTCGGTCTGTCCGTCCATCGTCCACAATTTCTTGTGACTGCTCTAACACCAAAAGTTATTATCCAATTGTTTTAACCCTTTCAGACTACAATTAACGTGACGTCATAATGCCCACGGAATCCATTTATTTTTGATAATCATATTTTAATTGACTGTTTTCTTATATTTGATCATTATGCAAATGCTTTTGATGGGAACTGACAAAAAGTATATATTTTCCTGAAGAAGAATGAATGGTGGATATTATGTTAGAAACATGAGTTCCCCCAAAACTATTATGCCTTTTCTTGTAACCATAGCAACATACATAAATTCTTGTGAATAATAACAAAAGTAAACCATTATTTAAATTCATTAATAAATTTCAAATATTTATTAATATTCAATAACATTTAAATAACAAAGATAAAAATAAAAATCATTATCAACAATAACAATAAAATTGGATATTTAGTGGTAAAATTTAAAATATCACAAAAATAGATATTTACAGATTTTATCATATTTAAATTTCTATACATAATACAGATACTATATATATTTGAATTTTAGACAAACCAAGATAATATTTATAATTATTATAGAATGTATACAAGAAACCAATAATTCTGAATGTTCACTGTTTTGTTAAAATGAAAGTGTTACCATGGCAACCAATTGAAAATAATGCCTATTTGGGTTTTTCTAAAAAAGGACACTACATCATCTACAGTCTCAATATCATCATACTTATTCACTACATGTGAGGCACAATAACCTAACAATGATAAAATTAACAATCATCAGCAATAATGACAATAAAATTAGATATTTGGTGGTAAAATTTAAAATATCACAAAAATAGAAATTTACAGATTTTGATCATATTTAGATTTCTATACATAGTACAGATACCGCAAAATATATGGAATTTTAGACAAACTAAGATAATATTTATAATTATTATAGAATGTATACAAGAAACCGACAATACTGAATGTTTACTGTTTTGTTAAAACAAAAGTGTTACCATGGCAACCAATCGAAAACAATGCCTATTTTTTAAAAAAAGGAAAATACATCATCTACAGTCTCAATATAATCATAGCTATTCACTACATGTGAGGCACAGTAAGCTAACAATGATAAAATTAACAATCACGATCAACAATAACAATAAAATTATATATTTTGTGGTAAAATTTAAAATATCACAGAAAAAGATATTTACAGATTTTGATCATATTTAGATTTCTATAAACAGTACAGACACCGCATATATATATATATATATAATTTGAGTCAGAGACAAACCAAGATAATACTCATCATTATTATACAGTGTGTATATATATAAGAAAGCGATAATGTTGAATGTGTTACCATGGCAACCAAATGGAAACAGTGCCTATTGAATGAAAAAGGACAATACATCATATATGCAGTTCGATATCATCATAATTAAGCTAACAATTTGACTTTTTTGTGTTTCCTAGCTGGTGCTGCATTTTCTTTATTTGGGTCCATGTAGGGAAAATTAACAGTATAATGATATCTGTGGAAACAGGGATATGGGCACATTCTTTTACCACACACACCACAACCATAAGTGGTTTCAACGCGGTTTGAATGGACAACACACCTACCCTGATTCTCATATTTATATGGAGCGTGTTCCAAGGTTCTGTCAAACCTTATTTCTGGTGGTAATGTAACAGATGGACGCCCTCGTTTCTTAGTGAATGTTCTGCCACCTATCAACCCATCAGCCAGTTGTAAGAAAAACTCATGTTGTGACAACTTTAACTGTGAATGAATTTTCTTATGTACAATAAAGGCTTGAACAGCAGAGAGTCTTAACAAATGCATAAACACTTGTATGTACCAAGTCAAAGATTTCATATGACGTCTATATGTAGCAACACGTTGATCAGATAAATCAACACCCCCCATATAAGAATTATAAGTGATAATAGCCCTAGGTTTGCTGATCGTAACTTCTTTACCACCCTGTTTCTTGTCTCTTCTCTGTATATCAACATCATCAAGATTACCTACAAAATAAAATGATAAATGAATAAAATACAATTTTAGCTTATTCGTAATTGATGAAATTAATTTTCACTAATATATTTTCGAATTATTTGTTTCACTTATATTCAAAAGTTATTGACAAAGATGGAAGATCTACATACACTTCCGGGGGCTGCGGTAGCTTAGCGAGTACTGTGCTTACTCACTAACCAGGAGGTCGTAGGTTCGATCCCCGGTCTGGGAAAGAACATCCGGATTTTTCAATTCAGTGTCGGTGGCACAGACCTGAGGGGCTGAAATGCAATAGCACCTAGTAGTTTGGATGGGACAATAAACGAAGTCTTGTGTGCTGCATCAGGGCGCACTTTAGAGAACTCAGACAGTTTCCCTCATTGCACATGCCCGTCTCAATTAGCCAATACAAAACGTGCAAAAAAGTAGGACGTTAAACCCCTTTTTATTTCATTTCAACATACACACCCATTTTATATTCAATACCGCAGACACATTTGATTACCGTAACTGTATAATATAACATTTTTTTAATTTTTATTTTAAAAATATGCCTACCTGGGATATTTGTTAATAGATTGACAACTCTCGTGTCTTTCCAGCTTACAGCCAAAACATTGTTTGAGATTCTTTTCAAACTTTCACCTTTCTTTAGTTTTTTAGTTGCACTTTTTTTCATATCAGATGGAAGTCGTTTGCGGTTGCTGTTTACAGTGCCGCAGGATAAGGTTTTTACTTGAGATAGATATTCAATAAGTTCTATATTGGTATAATAATTATCCATAAATACGTAGTGACCCTTGTTGAGAAAAGGCTGACAAACGTCAACAACGATTTGAGCTGTTTTAGATAATTGTGTGTCCTCTCTTTTTCCAGCATAGGGTATAATGTTTAGCACATATCCACTAGATGATTCTGCTAAAGTAAACAGTTTTATACCCCACTTTATAGGCTTATTCTTAATGTATTGTTTAATTCCAAGTCGTCCTTTGAACTTTAACATAGTTTCATCCACTGCAATTTCACGTTGGGGATTGTACACAAGTTGAAAACGTTTCACAACATAGTCTAATAGTGTTCTAATCTTCCAGAATTTATCTGACTTATTTACAGTTGTTGATGAATTGTCTACAAAATGAATACACGACAATATTTGAAGGAATCTTTTGCTGGTCATTGTCTGATTGAAACCAGGTGTTTGGGTAAGCCAATGTTTTGACCAATAACTGGCAATACGACCCTTTTTTTGCACAATACCAGTAGCGATGACTAGACCTAGCCACGTTTTCAATTCAGGCACTGAAATATTTGTCCAATCTTTATGAATATGTCTGCCTTCTTGACATTGTTTAGCGTACCTGTTTGTTTCTACAACAATATCTCGCAAAATATAGTCAGTAAATAAAAGTTGGAATAAATTGACGACTTCAAAATGTTCAACACCTTCGAGATCTTTATTTACTCCAACAAGGTGTTCAAAAACAAAACTAACATCGGGCAGCTCAGTCAATTTTTTGGTCCATTCACAATTCTTTACCGGCACTGCATTTTCATTAGGAGCTTCACCATCGTCATCATATTCATCCGAATCATCGTGTTCCAAATCAATTTCAACATCCACATCGCGGGCGAGACCGTCTAAATCACAGTCGCTTGAAGCAGACTCACTGACGCTGTCGTCGGAATTTAGTTCGAACGCACTGTCATCATCACTGGCACGCTCTATGTCACTGTCGTCGCTTTCCCAGAAACAGGGGTCCGCTAAAACAACATCCACTGTTCGCTTGGCCATTTCAATCGACAATTTCATAAAAACATGACAGGAAACGCGACGAATCGTCAGGGTAAACAACATTTAGAGTTATTTCCCTTCTATATTGACGGTCAAGGTGAAATTCCTGAATTTTAACCCTTTCACCTCATTGACGTAATATTACGTCAAGTAGTCGGAAAGGTTGTAAATTATATGACGTAATATTACGTCAAGTAGTCGGAAAGGGTTAAAATTGATCTATGTTGTTTACATTAGTGAGATGAAGAAGCCTATTTAATTTCAATAATTTCCGTTTATTACATTTAGAGTTATGGCCCTTGTTTCACTTTGTTGAACCTTGTGAACGCTCTAATGCCAAAAGTTAACATACGATCTTTGTGAAATTTATATGCAATATTTAAGTTAGTGAAATGAAGAATCCTATTGAATTTCATCAATTTCTGTTTATTTACGTCTAGAGTTATGGCCCTTATTTCACTTTATTGAACCTTGTGAACACTCTAACTCCAAAAGTTATCATCCAATCTTTCTGAAATTTATATGCATTATTTAAATTGGTGAGATGAAGAAGCCTATTGAATTTCAGCAATATTCGTTTATTATGTCTAGAGTTATGGCCCTTGTTTCACTTTATTGAACATTGTGAACGCTCTAACGCCAAAGGTATCATCCGATCTTTCTGAAATTTATATGCATTATTTACATTACTGAAACGAAGAAACCTATTGAATTTCAGCAATTTCCGTTTATTACGTCTAGAGTTATGACCCTTGTTTCACTTTATTGATCCTTGTGAAGACTCTAACGTCAAAAGTTATCATTCGATCTTTCTCAAATTTATATGCATTATTTAGATTGCTGAAATGAAGAAGCCTATTGAATTTCAGCAATTCCCGTTTATTACGTCTAGAGTTATGGCCCTTGTTTCACTTTATTGATCCGTGTGAATGCTCTAATTTCAAAAGTTATCATCTGATCTTTCTGAAATTTATATGCATTATTTAGATTACTGAAACGAAAAAGCCTATTGAATTTCAACAATTTCCGTTTATTATGTCTAGAGTTATGGCCCTTGTTTCACTTTATTGATCCTTGTGAACGCTCTAACGTCAAAAGTTATCTTTCGATCTTTCTGAAAATTTTATGCATTATTTAAATTAGTGAAACGAAGAAGCCTAATGAATTTCTGCAATTTCTATTTATTATGTCTCGAGTTATGGCCCTTGATTCACTTTATTGAACCTTGTGAACGCCCTTACGCAAAAGTTATCATCCAATCTTTCTGAAATTTATATGCATTATTTAGATTACTGAAACGAAGAAGCCTATTGAATTTCAACAATTTCCGTTTATTACGTCTAGAGTTATGGCCCTTGTTTCACTTTATTGATCCTTGTGAACGCTCTAACGTCAAAAGTTATCTTTCGATCTTTCTGAAAATTTTATGCATTCTTTAAATTAGTGAAACGAAGAAGCCTAATGAATTTCTGCTATTTCTATTTATTATGTCTCGAGTTATGGCCCTTGATTCACTTTATTGAACCTTGTGAACGCCCTTACGCAAAAGTTATCATCCAATCTTTCTGAAATTTATATGCATTATTTAGATTACTGAAACGAAGAAGCCTATTGAACTTCAGCAATTTCCGTTTATTACGTCTAGAGTTATGGCCCTTGTTTCACTTTATTGATCCTTGTGAATGCTCTAACGTCAAAAGTTATCATTCGATCTTTCTGAAAATTATATGCATTATTTAAATTAGTGAGACGAAGAAGCCTATTGAATTTCAGCAATTTCCGTTTATTACGTCTAGAGTTATGGCCCTTGTTTCACTTTATTGAAACTTGTGAACGCTCCAACGCCAAAAGTTATCATCCGATCTTTGTGAAATATATATGCATTATTTAGATTACTGAAACGAAGAAGCCTATTGAATTTCAGCAATTTTCGTTTATTACATCGAGACTTATGGCCCTTGTTTCACTTTATTGATCCTTTTGTGAACGCTCGTACGCAAAAAGTTTTCACCTGATCTTTGTGAAATTTATATGCATGATTTATATTAGTGAAACGAAAAAGCCTATTGAATTTCAGCAATTTACAATAATTACTTCTAGAGTTATTGCCCTTGTTTTACTTTGTTAAACCTTGTTAATGCTCGATTGATGAAAGTTATCATCCGATATGTATGAAATTTATATGCATCATTTAAATTTTTGAAACAGGTCTATTGAATTTCAGCAATTTCCGTCAATAATTTCTAGAGTTATGGCGATTGTGAACGTTTGAATGACAAAAGTGATCATGTGATCTGTATGAAATATATAAGCATTATTTAAATTAGTAAAACGAAAAAACCTGTCAAATTTCAACAATTTCTGTAAATTACTTCCAGAGTTAAGACCCTTGTTTCAGTTTGTAGAACCTTGTAAACCCTTAAACGACAAACTTTATAATCTGATCTGTATGGAACTGACTTGTAAAGGCCCCCAATTACCTACAAAGGAATAAATATGCGACAACCCATGACGACCGCTCGGGCGATTTAGCTGCTGTGGGCGTATGTTTTGTTGCCTGGCAACCTATCTTTTAGCTTGTGGTTCCTCTGGAGGTCACAATTATTATCCGATTTAAAAAAAAAACGTTTGATTATATCACTGTTACCCGTAATAAAGGTTGAGTTTGAATTTCCTGAAAATCAAACCAAAACTGACGGACAAAATGGCAGCCGCTTGTATGCAAATGGTATATCAAGGTTGTGGACCCCGTAGAGATAACAATTTTAATCCTCTTTTGATGAAACTTTAAATGCATGTTTATAACCCAAAGATCTTGGTTCCTTTCGATACTTGCACATATCGAATTGTAACTTCATGAATTATCGCCCTTGATTGTAGGAAAAATCACTTTCTTTTTAGCTTGTTCTATATGACTGTAACCCTTGTATCATCTAATATGGGGTTTATAGCACTTAAAACTATGCATATAGTTTAATTTCAAAACATCGTTTGATATTGATAAAAATCATTTGGAAATTACAAAAATCGTTTAATTAGTACTATGATTTAATTTAATGGTACACCATTTAATTTCTCCGAGAGGCGTGTAGGAATGGCCGAAGCGTTGACTTATCCAATGCTTTTATTTATTAGACGAGCCGTCCAATTTCCCGAGATGCGTTAAAAAAAAATCAACACCTGTTAATTTATCTACTATGTTTAACTATTAGATGAATCATTTATTTTCCCGCGAGCCTTTTATCCGATTGGTTCATTTTGATTACGATTATTTGCATATGAAGTGCGAATAAAAATGGTGAATATAAAAAAAGCACACCCATAGATGCTCACCTTACCGTGGTCGTAGTATTATTATCCATTATCCATTAAAAATAGTAATTCCGCCATTGACAAATACATCAAAAATTGGTAAATCACGTCCGAGGTAATTATACATTTGGTAATCCATAAATCACATCCCGTTCGTTCGTTCGTTCCTGGAGTTTTACGTCCAGTTTCACCTGAGATGATATCGTAGACAAGTCACACACATCCCAGGTAATGTACCTTCTTTAAATCACAAATGAATTAACTTCCACCTGTAGACGTCACAGGAAGAGAAGTCAACCCCGCAATGTAATGTTGAACGACGATAATCTCGTGAGACTTCTCAATGGCACCAAAATCTCTATAGACAGGCTGTCACCCATTTTCAGGCAGGTCAAACAGTATCAACAGGAAATATGCTTCAATGAATACACTTGACTGCAGTACAACGATTTTTGTTATACCCGAATCAAATCATATATTAAATCAAAGGTACATTATCTCTACCCCAATATATGTACCTGTATGGTATTACAAAAATAATTTGTTGGGGAGGTCATAACGCGGATTGGGCAACGGTGTTAAAAAACAATATACTAAAAGGGAAAAGAAAAAAAAAGCGAGGCCCTTCTCTACCGAAAACCCTCAGCATGCCAGATAAGTTTAAGGCCATACACAATCAAAAGTATTATTTAAAAAAAACAACAACAATACTGTATTTAATAATATTCATGGACTTGAAATAATTCACGTGTATTACAACCCATTAACGAGAATTTTATATACTTCACCAGTATTTGATATACTTCGCGAGTATGTCACCTGTCCGAGTACAGACGTCGGACCATTTTTATTTGAGTCCGAAATGACGCGGGACCGAAATGACATGTAATCAATACACCATGCGTAAATATAATTCTCAATTGCATGAAAATTCTTAAACCAAAACATAAAAAAATCGCATAGTTTGGATTGCTTCATTTAATTAGCTAAGTGAGAGCGAGAGAGAGAGAGAAATGGGGTTTAATGTTCACTCGACACAAACTAAGTCATTTCGGGACTAACATATGGTTTAAATTTATTTTAATAATTCGCTTGCGCGTAGGGGTCTTTAGCAGTGTGAGGAAACCGGAGGACCCGGAGAAAACCCACGAGGTTGGACAGGCGACCCTACTCCTTGCCACGTACAACCGGGGATTCGAAACCACGCCAGTCGACTCAATAACAGACTTTATGATACAGCGCGCGCAAGCTAACCATTCAGCCATCCAACCCCCCAGCTAAGTGAGAGTTCAGTTGTATTTACAAATGTAATTCAATTTTAAATAAAATGTTAAACACTTAATTAATTGCTATGGATTAATAAAAAAAATGATTAACTGAGTGAGATGTATGAAACTTTATATACCGGTAACAATTATGTAAATTCTTGTATATATGATGTAATAAAAACATTATATTCAATGATAAAAAAAAATCAGCTCCCGAGAAAAGTGTGACAATTCTTTAACAACCAATGGTTTTCTCAAATTAGTTTAAAATTAATACAGACATAAATCATTAAATGGTTATAAAACTGTGATACCTGACCAAAAGTTGTTACATGTATGTTTTTCTTGATAAAATATTAAAATCAAAATGAAAAAGACCGAGAATAAGCTTACGGTCACATACATGTATAATTGTGTTAACTCGTTCACACAAATCTGAATTTATATCATTGCACCTAGAATTCCGTATAAGAATAAGCTTAGAATACCAAAATGCGAATCGTAACACATTGTGGTCTAAAACTGTCATAAAATAAATGATAAATCAATGGAACATGTTAGAAGTTGGTAATGTTGGTTTATTTAAGGCGCCACGTAGTCTTAACAATTGAATACAACATGTCTCGAAAAATTGGCTACTTGCAAATGTATTCTATGATCTCATATCACGGGGCAATTCTGTGATCCACCTGCATGAACCTAAAAACATTACAAGTTCTTCCATGATAATTTCGTTGGACTTCTCGCGAACCGACGAATCGGATATATTTAAGTGTTTGAGATCGCCTTATTTAACGTCCGCTTCCACCGAGGCGATATCGCAGACAATAACAAGTTATGTATACATGGTGCAATATTTTACATTGTGATTAGTTAAAACAGTGATTAAATAATTATTAGATATTTATATATATGTACAGTAAAAAAGGTATTGAGAATCGTCTTTTAACTACGATTATCATATTAGTCATTAATCACCTCTGAATCTATATCCCCATACACATTAATTACAGAAAGGGTCTGTGTATACATGCCATTGTGAGCGATTCACTTTTTGGTCATCCGATGGTTATTTTGAAAATACACATACAGTACAAAGTCATAAATGTCCGCTATGATTGGTCGAATGCTATTGTTTCATTAATTCCCACCTGTGGCCACCTATCTGGGTACTATATGAAACCATGTTTTTGAATACACATTCCGTTATTACAGTATGGATTAATGCCTTGATTGCTCAAATGCTATTGTTTTATCACTTCCTACCTGCCTTACTTGTGATTGTTTTTAGTGTTTAGTGTGCATACATATAAATACATACAATTTCCTTTTTGTTATCAATTTATCAATAGCTAAATATTTGTTTTGTTTGATTTATAAATCCGTTTCGGTTTCGGGAATGTGGATTTTGAGTTAGTACCCATCTTGACACAAAAATATAACCCTGGTGTCCAATCCCCGTTATGTGACCTCCCCGACACACATTATTCTTTTAATACCATACATGTACATATATTGTAATAGTGATAAATGTACCTTTGGTTTAATGCAATATGGTTTTTTGTTCTGACACTATTTATTCAATAAATATTTACATATTATAAAAGTACACTATATGATTGTGGGATCTGAAAACAAGCCGGGGCTTATATAAATTCATCTCCCGAGGACATTATTTACAATAAAATATAAATACTTTGTATAAGATTGTAATTATAAATAACAAACTGGTATAAAATTACAAGGTAAAAGTGTTTACTCTCATTTATAGTATAAATCAGTTAAATTACGGAATGTAGTAGAAATGTAGTGGGGTTAGCGAAATGATTATCTGATGTTCATAGCACTGAAAGGGTATGCGAAACAATGGTTGTGGTAGTAAAAGAAAGAAAATATTATTGCGATCGGAGGCATTTGGCGTGCGATGGTGTTACATGGTTAGCCCTGTGTGACCTGTTTGAAAATGGGCATCAGCTTGTCTATAGAGATTTACAGACAGGTACTTTTTGGCGCCAGTGAGAAGTCTCACGAGATTATCGTCGTGCAACATTACTTTGCGGGGTTGACTTTTCTGCTTGTGACGTCTACAGGTGGAAGTTAATTCATTTGTGACTTATAGAAGATACATTACCTGGGATGTGTGTGACTTGTCTACGATATCACCTCAGGTGGAACTGGACATGAAACTTCAGGAACGAACGAACGAATATGATGTGATTTCGGGTTTCCAAATGTATAATTACCTCGGACGTGATTTACCGATTTTTGATGTATTTGTCAATGGCGGGTCGCCCCCGTCCGTCCAGCGTCCACGATTGCTTGTGGACGCTCTATAGGCTAAAGTTAATATTCGATTGACTTTAAATTTATACACAGTGTTTAAGGTCATGAGACGAAGAAGCCTATTGATTTTCAGCAATTTTCGATAATTACTGCCAGAGTTATGGGCCTTGATCACTTCAAAAAATCTTGTGGACGCTCTAGAGGTCAAAGTTAAAGATAGGGTCGGAACTCGAGCATCATTGCTTTAAATCATTCATCTATATCATGTTAACAAGTGTAGGAAGTTTGAAAGTCGTGTGCCGAGGGCTTACTGAGCTATTGGCGAAAAAAGACGAAATTCTCGAATGACATACCTTTCCTGATTAGATTATAAGGAATTCCCCCGCGTGACGCCATGAGAGTTAGCAGGGAGCCGGAAGCGCCAAGATCTCATTGTAAAGAAGACAGCAGCGCGCCTTCAAAGATTCAGAATTTTCTTTTTGTGATGGGGAGACGTTGTGTTGTTGCGGGATGCAGTAATACTCACAAGGAAGGGGTATCCGTGTATTTGTTTCTGACGGAAAAATCCTTGAAGACTCAATGGACACGGTTTGTTAAACTGACAAGAGCCGACTTTACCCAACCAACTAACAATCATGCTATATGCGAAGTCCACTTTTCTGCAGATTGTTACGACCAAAAATATGACATTGGGCTTCACAGAAAAATACAAAAAGCTTCTTCCGGGATCAGTGCCATCCATTTATCCAGCAATAAACCAGGAAGCAACTGATAGTTCCCTTCCAAAGAAAAGAAAGAGATCAGCTTACCACAAAAGAGAAGTCACTAGGGTAGGAATTTTATAATTAATTAGGCCTAATATAATCATGACATAACTTTGTCGTTTTTTAACCCTTTATTTTTAATTGACTTTTTATATATATAATAATATTAGATCACTGTCTATTTCATTTCTTTTTGTTTTAAATTATAGATTTTACAAGAAGGCTCAACAAAGAGTAAAAGTCGAAGTGTGTCCAAAGAGACTGTTGATGAAAGCTTATTATATGACACTAGTGCATCATCCATGACCATAGAATATGAAAGCTCCGAAAATATACAAATAATACAGGAGGTAAATATTAGCAGATCGAAATATGCCATTATCATCATTATTTCATAATTCATGAACCATTATATCGTAAAATTAGTGTTTTGGTCATAAAAGTATATTTTTGTTCAAAAAATACATAGGCCTATAATTAGGATATTTTCTAATAAGCGATAAAATACTTCACATTAATTTCCTTTTAGAACCTTGTGAGAATGACTACTCTTTTTCAAATAGTTTTGCATGAATTTTAATTGAGCACGATTTTGTGACAAGAAGCCCTACTATTACACACAATGAATTGTTCCTTAGTTTAACAGCATGTTTATCTGGTAGAATATCTTAAAGTCAGTCAAAGTTCAAGCTACACCTCAATGCAGGGAGAAAGGTATATGTATGTTTTTAATATTTTATTTATTGCTTACTTTTCTCTTTTATTATAGAACTAAATTGCATAGTCGTAATTCGGTAACCAAGATTGGTGTAAGTGTTTGTGATTTATGTAAAAAGTGCCATATTCTTGATATTTCCTTGTTAGATCTGTCACACTTTTAAATTACAATTAAATCATAATTGCAAAATTTATTTAAACATACATTATGCAAGAGCTAAATCTGATTAATGCAAGTCTTAATTTAGGCTTCAAATGTTATAGAAATTATACAATTAGATCTTTATTTAAACAACAAGCCCAAAATCAACTCTGTAGACCCACGGATGGCTCGGCTACAGCTCGGATTTAAATAGGATTTCACTTATTAATTAAATCAAATATGGCGCACCCTGATGAGAATACGTCAGTTAGATCGAGGCTAAATGATAGAGTGAACTTAGCGAGGCCGCTGTAGAGCGTTTCTGCATGCCATTGAAAACTTTACTTGATAATCGAGATATGTAGGTGGAGTTAACGCCTGTCAATCAAACGATCAGCCAAGGTTAAGGCACATTTCACTACCATTTCTAGTCAAATATTACAACGATGATAACTATGTTCAGAATAAAGTAATTTGACTGAAATTTTCAATATATTCTTCTTTCATCATCTACTTTTGAACTGTTATAGCAAGAATGGTCAACTCTCTATAAAAATCTCCCATAATGTATCTTTAATTATTAACAGGCACCAATTACAGTTTTAAACCATACCGCAGAAGTATTGGTGTGCAAGTTGGCGATACATATGTAGATAAAAATCTAACAGAAGAAGGGAATAAATCAAAATATGGTGACCTTTCTGATATTGGAGACTATGAATCAAACAGTGATACGAATAGTGAGGATGAATCAGAGTTTGAATATAGGCCTGAATCTACAGACGAATCATCAGATGTGAGCAGTCTAAGGTAGCTTAACCTTTCATTTATTCATACACTAATTCATTTTATGATTACTTCCATTCAATCACTCACAGTCCATAAGTAAAGTTTCTCACCCAGTCAGTCTAAGTAAGTGATGGTTGCATTTGCATTTTTTTCTCTAGTTGTAAGCTATTCAAATATGGCTATAATTTTAATTCTGCTACCAAGAGCTTAGTTATTTATACTGAAGTGTTCTGTCTTTTTCAGTAATGGAGAGTCAGAAGATCCTTATACACAAAGAAATTTTATTATTAACAAGTCCACTTTACTGCAACTTTTCCAAATGTGTCATGTTTGCTATTCCTCATCTACTAATAGCAGAGTGACTACCACTTTTGGTACACTAATTAAAGTGGTTAGCGAGTGCAATTTTTGTGGACATATTTATAACTGGACGAGTCAGCCTTTCATTGGTACTATCCCTGCAGCTAATTTGATGATGTCTTGTGCTATTTTATTTTCGGGATCTCTACCTACTCAGTCTTTACGACTTTTTGATTTTATGAACATCAACCACATATCATCCTCAACATACATGGAGCATCAAAAGTTTTATTTGTACCCAGCTGTGACTGAGAACTGGCAAGATTTTCAAGATACATATATTCAGAGAAAGCGAGGTAGTACCATTGTTGTTGGAGGTGATGGTCGTGCCGACACACCAGGACACTGTGCAAAGTATGGGTCTTATTGTATGATGGATCTAGACGAGAACAAAATCATCACTGTAGAATTGATTCAGGTAAAAACTATTTTTGTGCACTGCATATGTTTTAATAGTATGATGTAATCTTGGTCATCTGTTATTCTACATCAATTAATGTATTCCTTAGTCAGAATAAAGATAATTATGAGCAAGTTTATTTTCCATTTTGAATTTTTTTATATCACTATGTTATACTGTTTTTGATATCCCTATATTTCAGAGTAATGAAGTTAAATCCAGTGTACATATGGAGAAAGAAGGACTTATCCGCTGTGTTGACTGGCTGAAAACCTACAATATAGATATAGGAACATTTGTATCAGACAGGCACCTACAAATCCAAAAGTGGGTCAGAGAAAATTTAGATGGCACAAATCATTTCTATGATGTGTGGCATGTGAGCAAGGGTAATATTATTTTTAAAGTTTGCAAAAAGTAAGTTGAGGTATTTTTAAAGATACTTGAATCTAGCACACTGCACCTCTCAACATGGAATTTAGCCACAATTCAAACTTACTTTATGCCAACCATCTTTATATAATGTGAAGAATATGTTTATCTATAACACATTGTTTCCTTGCAATACTCTGGGTGTTATTAACCAAAAAAAATGCTCTTGTTAAGGCCATTGTTTACATTTAGCATTTTTTATATTCTATAGGTCTAAAGAAAAAAATGGCATCATTGTCAAAAGAAAAAGAATGCGAAGATGTGGGTTTGTGGACAAAAAGCATCATAAACCACCTGTATTGGTCAGCTGGCTCCACTGAAGATGGAGATGGGAATGTTATGTGGGCGAAGTGGGAGTCCATATGCAACCATGTTCAAAATGTACGAGGGGCATAGTGAATTTTTTCCAAAATGTTATCATGAGGATGGATTGAAAAGAAAATGGCTAAAACCAGGTAATATATTAATGTTTAAGTGGCATTTAGTAATATTGGGGATCCTTGTCGAAATGTGGTGCTATATTATAAACCAGTGATTGTTTCCCATAAAACTGTGTTCTGCTAAGGTAATATATTACATGACCACCTTTGATCGTTAATATTACCCAGGTTTCTAATTCCATATTTGGATCTTTGTTACAAGAATAATTTAATTACAGGTACTAAAGCTTGTGAGAAGTTGACAGATTTACTAACTACAAATCAAGTAAGAGAGATGTCAAGAAACTTTCTCCGATCTACCAAACATCAAATATAGAAGCCTACCATAGTGTCGTAAATCATTTTGCCCCTAAAATGATAGGGTTTTCGTTTCATGGAATGCATTGCAGGTAACTAATGCTAAAATATACCGTCAAAGATGTGTGTGAGCATTGAATTGAATCCAAGCTGGGATGTTGTCTGCAGGTCATATTTTAATTTTTTTTTAAAGTTGTTTCAATGTACCGTTAAATATTAATTAGAACTCTTAAAAATGTGATTCTCCAATATTGTTATTTTAAGAACATATGTTGGGATGGATTCCCCAAATTTTTTAAAAAGTTGTTTCAATGTACGTTAAATATTAATTAGAGCTCTAAAAAATGTGATTCTCTATTATTGTTATTTAAAGATTCCCAAAAATTGTTCAACATCGTTATTTATTTGAATTTTATAATTCATTCCTTCTGTATCTAACATGTGGAAATTTAAATCAGGTATAAATGTCTTAGAAATTTTTGTTCATGGCAATTATTCCCAGTTCTAATTTAACAGTTTCTTATTCTTTGTTTTAGACTTTTAATTGCTGCACTCCATTACAACGAAAATAGTACACGAAATCAAGCTGTTACTAAAGATGGTAGACCAAAATTTGATGTAATCTATCCAAAATATAAAAAAGGAGATTATATAGTTAGGGAGTGCAAAGAGCCAACATCTTATAGTATGTATTATTGGAATAAGTCACCTATTATGTAATTTGCTGAAAATTATAAAGAATAATGATTTTTTTCAATGAAATGAAATAAAAACGTTCTGCTCAAACTGGGCTATTGAAGATGGTTACTTTCAATGGAACAATTTTGAATTTATTGTTTGCGTTATGGTTTAGATTTTACTTTTTGAAAAAAATAACACTGGTCTTGTATTATTTCAGAGTATGTTAAAAGCCTCATTCAATACGCAGCGGAAAAGTGTGACAATCAAAACAGAACTGCAATTCTTTTGAGATTCCCACCACCATTATGCTCCGGTTATGTTCACCCACTAAAAGAAGATGCTGTGAAGTTAAAAACTTCACGATTTCCAAATAAATAAGTTTAAAAATTCAGAATTAGTTTTTTATTTGTATAAATCCTTTATAATCCTGGGATGGAAATGTTTCTCTAATTTTTGTCACAAAACAGGAAGGTAGTGCCACACGAACTTTTTTACCAAGGTATCCCCAACACCATCTTACAAACTGTCTGTACGAAGTGTAACGGCTGCGTCTGTAAGAAAAAGATACCTGCATCAAGCCAACATTATTATATTATTTTGGCATATATTTTTATATGTAATTGAAAACACCAATTCAAATGAGTATACAGACAGATCAAGGCTTTTTCCTCCTGCAAGACAGATTTATTTAAAGCGAGAATTTCATATTTTCTAAGAAAGTCAAAACATAATTATTTCTATGTCCTTTGCTCAATAGGTTATCAACTCACTATTATACGACCATGGGCATTATTTCCCACCCTTAAAAATCATTGACACAGGAAATAATAACACAATTACCTCCCTTGTTTTCCCATTGCCTCCATGCATTAGCTATGTTCAAACGTTGGAATTTGAAGTTGAAAATGATATTTTTGCCACTTTCTCAGCTGACAAAAGTGATTTAGAGGAATGATAGGATTATTCTTTAACAAGGTAGGACTGTTTATGGATACCATCTATTTTAAGGCTTTATTTTAATAAATTTTAAAAATATAACTTAAAAATATGAAATTATAGCTTTAATATACATACTCGGGTCCTGTTTCCTCTGTGTCACCATACTGTCGCAATCCATTGTAAATGCTTATAACGCTGCCATATCCAATGAAATAATGCTAACTCGCACTACGTCACGACTATTTTTAGTAACACGGGGTATACTCGCTGCCGTTCTGCGGACAGGTGATAATTTTGGAACTTTAACGGATCATATCTTTTAAACTATTAGACTGATATTCGAAAAATAAAGTTTTACATTAATTTTAGACAATTGTCTTTCCACCCACAGCAACTTAAACGAGTGCCGGACCCTTTCTTTAATATCTGATTGACTTTAAATTTATACATGGTGTTTAAGCTCATGAGACAAAGAAGCCTATTGATTTTCAACGATTTCCGATAATTACTGCCAGAGTTATGGCCCTTGATCACTTTGAAAAACCTTGTGGACGCTCTAGAGGCTAAAGTTAATATCCGATTGACTTTTAATTTATACACAGTGTTTAAGATCATGAGACGAAGAAGCCTATTGATTTTCAGCGATATACGATAATACTGCCAGAGTAATGGCCCTTGATCACTTTGAAAAATCTTGTGGACGCTCTAGAGGCTAAAGTTAATATCCGATTGACTTTAAATTGATACACAGTGTTTAAGGTCATGAGATGAAGAATCCTATTGATTTTCAGCGATTTCCGAGAATTTTTGCTAGAGTTATGACCCTTGATCACTTCAAAAATTCTTATAGACGCTCTAGAGGCTAAAGTTAATATCCGATTTACTTTAAATTTATACACAGTGTTTAAGGTCATGAGACGAAGAAGCCTATTGATTTTCAGCGATTTCCAATAATTACTACCAGAGTTATGGCCCTTGATCACTTTGAAAAATCTTGTGGACGCTCAAGAGGCTAAAGTTAATATCCGATTGACTTTAAATTTATACACAGTGTTTAAGGTCATGAGACGAAGAAGCCTATTGATTTTCAGCGATTTCCAATAATTACTGCCAGAGTTATGGCCCTTGATCACTTTGAAAAATCTTGTGGATGCTCTAGAGGCTAAAGTTATCATCTGATTGACTACAGATTGATACACAGAGTTTAAGGTCTTTAGACGAACAAGTATATTGATTATCAATGAATCTTTATGTCTCAAACAGCTAAATCCATGATATTACATGTTTTGTATACTAAGCGTTAGCATGGGGCAGAACTTTATAAAAACCAAACAAATTCTAATGGTTTTCTGATAATTACTTAATGAGTTGTTACTCTTAATCAGATTTTAATGTAGTATAAATGTTTTATTACCGAAAAAAGTAAAAATATGCGACAACTCTTGTTGACTGCCCGGACGATATAGCTGCTGTGGGCGTATGTTTCGTTGCCTGGCAACCTATCTTTTTTATATTCACCATTTTTATTCGCACTTCATATACAAATCAAAATGAACCGAACGGATAAACAGCTCGCAGGAAAATAAACGATTCATCTAATAGTTAAACATAGTAGATAAATTAACAGGTGTTGATTTTTAAACGCATCTCGTCTAATAAATAAACGCATTAGATAAGTCAACGCTTCGGCCATTTCTAAACGCCTCTCGGAGAAATTAAACGGTGTACCATTAAATTAAACTATAGTACTAATTAAACGATTTTTGTAATTTCCAAACGATTTTTATCAATATTAAATGATGTTTTGAAATTAAACTATATGCATAGTTTTTATCGCTATAAACCCCTTATTAGACGATATAGGTGTTACAGTGTATCCATCTCTAGATAATGTGGGCATATCCTGCCTGGCAGCCGCTGGTTATCCACATTAGAAAACCGTTTGAATATATCACCGTTACACCGTAATGATGGTTGAGTTCGAACTTCGTGAAAATCAGACCAAAACTGCCAGACAAAATGGCTGCCCATCGTACGCTAACTAATAGTGTAAAAATATGGTATATCAAGGTTGTGGACTCTCTAGAGGTCACAATTTTCACCCGATTTTGATGAAACTTACAATGCAAGTTTATAACCCAAAGATCTTGGTTCCTTTCGATATTCGTGCATATCGGATCGTAACTTCCTGTATTATGGCCCCTGATTGTACGAAAATCACGTTTTTCACTTGTGATCCCTCTAGAGTTCACAATCATTATCTGATTTAAAAAAACTGTTCGAATACATCACCGTTAAACCGTAATGTTGGTTGAGTTTGAATTTTGAGAAAATCGGACGAAAAAACTGCCAGACAAAATGGCCGTCCCTCTACACAAATAGTGTAACATCTGGTATCACACTGATCAGCAGTGAATATTCGCTAGGCGCTACAATCACTGATAAGGATGACATCAATGCGACTTAATGAGTCTCCAATATTAACTTTTTTCCGCCGACAAATTATATTCTAAAACATTTTTTTGATGTATTAGAAAAATGAATAAAGACGTTTGACGTATTTGTAGGTAAAAACTATTTCCTATTTAGTGTGAATGGGTATTAAAATGACTAAAAGGCAGCATTCTGCCTGAAGCAGTAATGTCTTATGTAAACAATGTATGCGCCATTCAGCCAATGATTGACGCCGCATGCTGTGACGGCACATGTTAAAGACAGTTGTCTTTTACAGAGATATTAGAGAAGACTCGTAATTCTCTGTGAAACAGATTGATCTGGTATATCAAGGTTATGAACCCGCTAGAGGTCACAATTTTGATCCGATTTTGATGAAACTTGAATTGCATGTTGATAACCCAAAGATCTTGGTTGCTTTTGATATTTGCACATATTGGATGGTAACTTCCTGAATTACGGCCCCTTATTGTACGAAAAATCGTGTTTTTAGCTTGTAGCCCATTTAGAGGTCACAATTATTATCTGATTTACAAAAACGTTCGAATATATCACCTTTACACTGTCATGTTGGTTGAGTTTGATTTTCGTGAAATTGGCTGACCCTCGTACACAGATAGTGTAAACATCTGGTATATCAAGGTTGTGGACCCTCTAGAGGTCACAATTTTGATCCGATTTTGATGAAACTTGAAATACTGGTTTGTAACCCACAGATCTTGGTTCCATTCGATATTTGTGCATATCGGATAATAACTTTCTGAATTATCGCCCTTGATTGTACAAAATTTAGAGGTCACAATTTTTATCCGATTTAAAAAAAAACAAAAACGTCTGAATATATCACCATTACACACTAAGATCTTAGTTCCTTCTGATAATCACGCATATCCGAACATAACTTCCTGGATTATGGCCCCTGATTGTTCGAAAAATAGCATTAGTGGTCACAATTTTTTTTCTGATTTTAAAAACCGTTAAATATATCACCATTCCACCATAATGAAAGTTGAATTCGAATTTCGGGAAAATTGAAATGAAACCGCACAACAAAATGGTTGCTATTTGTACGCAAATTGTATAAAAGTATGTAATATGAAGGTTGTGGACCCACTAGAGGTCACAATTTTTATCCAATTTTGATGAAACTTGAAAGGTAAGTTCATAACCCAAAGATCTTGGTTCCTGTCAATATTCGCGCATATCGGACCATATCTTCCTGGATGGCCCCTGATTGTACAAAAAATCACATTATTTTTTTAGCTCGTTCTCTGTCCATCTCTTGCAAAATGTGGGCATATCTTGCATGGCAACCGCTTGTTACACATTTTTAGAATATTGCAGCACACACGTTTTAGGATAGCGTAGTTTTAAACATATGTAAAATGACCACTTTAAGATAATTTATAGAAAATTCCACACAATTCATTCATTCCCAAACGGCTGCCAGATTTTAAGTCGACTACTAGGCCTATCATACCTGACCAATATCAAAAATTTAGAGACATAACATTTTGGGTAAGAGAGTTTTGAAATTATTGTAAAAATTGGTCGAAATATGTCAAATTTTGCCAAAATCAACAATTTTGGGTTGTACCGACAGTTGTTCGTTCAAAAAGTCATGTGACTTCTGTCGCCTAAGGGTCCCCATGAAAGAAGTATTGTTGAAATTTGCTGACCCCCCATGTTGTAATTTTTTTTTTATATGCCTACATTCAAATGTGGTCGTATATTGTCGTCTCCCTCATCCGTCCGGGGGGTGGATGCAGTGGTGGCGCCAGCCGCCGGTGATTGGAGGGGCAAAGCTGGGGCAGAGTCCAAGGTTAAGGGGGCAAAGGCACGAGCTTCAACAGGGGTAGGGGGCCTCCCCCAGAAAATTTTGAAAAACAGGTTGCCGGAAATGCAGCCTGGCAGTATTTCAGGCACTGATCGATGAGGTAAAGTGTCAAACGAACGGACTTGCGAATCACGACGAAGCCCACTTCGTCAAAGTAGGGAGTCCTCCCTCAGAAAATTTTGAAAAGTAGACTGCCAGAAATGCTGTTTTACAATATTCTGTCAGGCACCGATCGTCGAGATAAATAGATCTGCCCAGATACCGTTCCTCGCCTGATCACTAGTTTATCCGACTAGAGAACAAAATGTCAAACAAACGGACTTGCGAACCTCAACGAATCCCCCTTGTGAGCCCCAAAGTAGCGAGTCCATTGGGGACCTGTCGGAAATGCTCTACAACATGCAAGTTTATGACTAAGTGGGGATGTGGGATTTATTCACCGTAGAAGGTGTTGATTACCGAAACGTATCACAAATACTTTTTTATACGCCCACATTGAAATGTGGTCGTATATTGTCGTCGCCCCAGTCCGTCCGTCGGTTCGTCGGTCTGGCGTCCACAATTGCTTGTGGACGCTCTAGAGGCTAAAGTTAATATCTGATTGACTTTAAATTTATACACAGTGTTTAAGGTCTTGAGACGAAGAATCCTATTGATTTTCAGCAATTTCCGATAATTACTTGATCACTGAAAAATCTTGTGGTCGCTCTAGAGGCTAAAGTTAATATCCAATTGACCATAAATTTATACACAGTGTTTGAGGTCATGAGATGAAGAAGCCTATTGATTTTCAACAATTTCCGATAATTACTGCCAGAGTTATGGCCCTTGATCACTTGTGGACACTCTTAAGGCCAAAGTTAATATCCATTGACTTTAAATTTATTCACAGTGTTTAAGGTCATGAGACGAAGAATCCTATTGATTTTCAGCGATTTCCGATAATTACTGCCAGAGTTATGGCCCTTGATCACTTCAAAAAATCTTGTGGATGCTCTAAAAGCCAAAGTTAATATCCGATTAACTTTAAATTTATACACAATGTTTAATTATCAGAAAACTATTAGAACTTTAGAACTCCACCGTGGGCTATATCTCCCCCAAAGATTGATTTCCATCTTACACAACATAAAAAGAGAGATACTAGCTCTACGGTGTTTCAGTCTCTCTTTCGAGAGCTGAGGTCTAAATATGGTGATTATGCTCCAATTTATACAGATGGTTCGAAAGATGGTGATCGGGTAGCTTCGGCTAACATGACACCATCTGAGACCATTTCTGTCCGCCTTCCACCTGCTGCTTCCATCTTTACAGCTGAACTCCAGGCCATTCTTCAGGCTTTGGAGTTCATTAAATCAACATCTGATTTAAAATATATAATTTTTACTGATTCTTTGTCCTCACTACAAGCAATAAATAATAAACAGCTTGAACACCCATTAGTAGCAGACATTTATGGTCTGTTACTATCAAACGAGTTCATCAGCAAGGACATTGTCCTTTGCTGGCTCCCCAGTCACATGGATATAAAAGGGAATGATCAAGCAGATTTAGCTGCCAAGTCTGCCTTAGATCTTCCCTTATTCGAATTTTTATGACCGCTGGCAACGGTCTTGGGATCTTGCAGGCACAAACAAACTTCATCACATAAAGCCTCTCCTTGAAGAATGGCCAAGCTCCTACACGTCTAACAGGAGAGATGAAGTTATTTTGTGTCGCTCTCGCATTGGTCATACTTTTTTAACTCATATTTTCATTTTGAAGCGAGAGCCTCAACCGGAATGTGTTCACTGTCATGTTCCTTTGACAGTGAGCCACATCTTGATTGAGTGCAAACATCTCAAGTATATTAGATCTAAATACTACCGTTGCCAGTCATTACGTCAGCTATTTGCTCAACCGGAGCTATAGGATAAAGTGCTAACATTTTTAAAAGAGACAAACCTTTATTCTCAATTTTAATTGTATATATTTAATCATGTATATTGTTTTAAATATTTATATATGTAAAAGATTTGTTATATTTATTTTTAATTATATATTTTCTGTGATATTTGTTTTTATTTACATATATAAATTCAATTATGTGATATTGTTTTAATTTGTCTCGTTAGATTCACCATATGTTTGGCGCAATATAGCTCGGTTGGAGCTGACGTGCCATTAAACAACATTTCATTATATTTCATTTGACGCATTGGGGTCATCAGAGGGTGAACCGTATTGACACTCAGTGATCCACGACTTTCTGTTTTGGAGTTATGCCCACTTTGCTGAAAACCTTGTTAATGCGATAGAGACTACAGTTCGTTCGGATGGGACGAAAAACCGAGGTCCCGTGTACATATTGGCATGCACGTAAAAGATCCCTTGCAGTTGCAATTTGATATAAGAGTAGGCTGTAGCGCCGCTGCCCAGGCAAAATTTCCCTCATAGCACACTTATGGCGTATGCCCGTCTTCATTAGCCCAGTTTAGGAGCAGAACAGTAGGACGTTAAACCCCATTTCATTTCATGCATTGGTATCGTTGAGGATGAACCTTGTTGATTTAGAACATTTTTGGATTTCTTGATGACATCTTTATGCCTTATCCATTTTGGTCAACAGGCAAGTTTTCATTTTGGATTAGCTGCTGTCAATTTCTATATAATTTTAATGATGAAGCTGCTGTGTAGACTTATTTCCACAATTTGCATGGCTTTCTTTTTTGGGGTGATAAGCAAGATGTCTAGTTAAACAACCTAATTAATGTTTTTTACTGGGACACTGCTTCCTGGATGCCTAGTTTGACTCTGTAAACAGGTAATTATCATGATGTATTTATTTCAGTCATCTGGTACAGGGTAACCAGTTAGTACCATTACAGATGGGAGTTAAAGCTGATCATTTAATGCCATCTTGTAAAACGCTTTTGTCTGACTCCGTCTTATTACAGGTAAACTATAGCTTCCTATTGTTGATATCAAAGCCCATTGAAAATTGAACCAAATGTTTGTCCCGAAAATGACCCAGTTCATTTCTTCGAGTGCACGTTGAGCACCATTTCCCTCTCTCTCTTTTCTTGCATAAGCTTTCTGTTCTCAGTTTTTATAAGCCCACATGAAAATGTAGCTGTATATTGTCGTTGATCCTGTATGTCTGTTTGTCCACATGTTTTGAAATTTATAATATAATTTACATTTGTGAGTTGAAGAAGCCTAATTAATTTCAACAATTGCTGTTAATTTCTTCTAGAGTTAATGTCCCTTATTTCACTTTGTAGACCCTTGTGAACGCTCAAATGACAATAGTTATCATCCAGTCTGTATGAAATGTATCTGCATTATTTAAATTAGTGAACCAAATAAGAAGCCTATCTTCAATAATTTCAGCTAATTACTTATAGAGTTATGGCCCTTGTTTCACTTTATTGAACCTTGTTAATGCTCCAATGACAAAAGTTAAAATCAGATCTGTATGAAATTTATATTCATTATTAAAAGTTGGAAAATGGAGAAGCCTATCGAATTTCAACAATTTCAGTTACAGCCCTTGTTTCAATTTGTAGAACACTCCAACGACAACAATTATCATGTGATTTGTATTAAATTTAGATCGGTATCATGTAAACGCTCCCATTACCCGCAAAGTATAAATATAAAACAACCCATGGATGATTTAGCTGATGTGGGTGTATGTTTAGTTGCCTGGCAACCTATCTTTACTTCATGCAGTACATTCAGTGAGGTATAATATCAGTGTGTCCTTGACTATCATAGACTTGATGACACCGCACTAATCACCAGATGCAAGAAGCTTTCTCTTTGTTTTCATTACAAATTTTAAGCTTCCCAGGAACGGTTCCAAGAATAGAGAGGTTCAATTTTTTATACGCCCACATTGAAATGTGGTCGTACATTGTCGTCACCCCCAAACCGTCGGTTAATATCTGATTGTTTTTAAATTTATACACAGTGTCTAAGGTCATGAGGGAGAAGCCTATTGATTTTCAGTGATTTCCGATAATTACTGCCAGAGGTATGTCCCTTGTGATCACTTCAAAATATCTTGTGGATCCTCTAGAGGCTAACTAAATATTCATACACAGTGTTTGAGGTCATGAGACGAAGAATCCTATTGATTTTCAACGATTTCCGATAATTACTGTCAAAGTTATGGCCCTTGATCACTTTGAAAAATCTTGTGATGCTCTAGAGGCTAGCTAAAGTTATCATCCGATTGACTTAAGAGTCTAAGGTCTTGAGACGAACAAGTATATTGATTATCAATCAATTTTGATAACTTGAACAGCTAAATCCATGATAATAAATGTTTCGTATACTAAACTTTTTAAAAACCAAACAAATTCTAATGATTTTCTGATAATTACTTGATGAGTTGTTACTCTTAATTAGATTTTAGTGTATTATAAATGTTTCATTACCGAAAAAAGTAAAAATATGCGACAACTCTTGTTGACTGCCCGGACGATTTAGCTGCTTGCTGTGTGGCGTATGTTTCGTTGCCTGGCAACCTATCTTTGTAGTTTACACAGGTGAAATGTAAGTGTTCAGAACTGTCCAAACTGGACCACTGAAGTGAGGTGATCTCAGAACCATTGTCAGTACTGCACGATTCAATTTTTGTAGTGTAATCGCTATTCGTTCTCCGAAAGGTTCTCTGGACAGATTTCTGTGCAGGGTACTACACTGACACTTAGAAAAAGGTAAGGTGTGATATGTATGTTTGCCGTATATAAATCTAGCCCTAATGGTTGTTTGATACGTAAGGGTGAGAACTAGACTGAAAGGCAAGTTAATTATCATTAGGGGTCATGTTTGAAAATGGTGTGATACTCGCTGTGCAGAATTTCTTGAAAATATTTGCCAATAAAGATTTGAGTTGCGAAAGATCATTGAACACAAAAAAGAAAAATAGTACACTGTAATATTTCGATAATTTAGAGGGGGTATATTGTCCATTTGACCACATTTCTTGACCAATCAGAATCAAGGAAATTGAATCGACACTGTATAATCCGTACTTCAAACGGTGGGTGTGAAGCATCCAATTATCGGTGAGATTAAAACTCAATGGGTGTGAAGCCAGAAAAGATTAACAAGTAATCACCAATCAATTATCGGTGAGATTAAAACTGTGTTGATTACTTTGATCGGTAAAGCAGTGAACCTGAGTTGTTTTAAGGGAGTGGACAAGATCTACCTGCCAGTCAATTGGTCGGCCAATCACAAAGCTTGGATGACAGGTGCCGTTTACTTTGATTGGCTTGAAAAACTGGACATAGAACGACAGATTATAAATGACAATTGACTGAAGACGGGGACGATGAAGAATATACATTAACGACAGACTTGACCTATTCAAAATTCCTACGCATGCTCAACGACAAAAACACTTCGCTCAGATTAAGGACGAAAAGATGATCGCAACAATTCATTTGTTAGAAGATGTTGCCCAGGACTCCGCCTTACGATATGCTTCCGGTAATCTTAACTAAGCAAACTACTTTAAACGATTACATGCATTGATATTTCTAAATATATTGTACGCATGCATTGATATTACATGTAAACGATTTTATGAATATATTGTACGCATGCATTGTTATTGTTAATTATTTAATATAATAAAATTTTGAAAGTACAGAAAAGTTTATCATTTATAAAGGGAATAGCATTCTGGTGATTCGAAGCTACAATATAAAAATACTTCCGGTTTTCGAAGTTACAGTATTTCCGGTTTTGGAGAAAGCTCGGTATTCCGAAACGCTGTGTGATCCGAATTATTGTAATGATCCCGCATGATGTCGGATGTGACAGAGTCCACTGTATTCGCTCTTTGTCTGGAATGTTTCCTTCTGTTATGTTTATTATTATTGAACTTATACTGGGCAATTTGATTCTCAATAAAGGGGGGGTTGGGATGGCTTAGTGGTCTAGAGTGTCCCGCTTTGCTCTCTAGCTGGCCGGTCACCTCTGGCTTATAGTTGTGGTTTCGATCCCTGGTGTGAGCGTATGTGGCTTGGAGATAGGGGTGCCTTCTCAACCTTGTGGGTTTACTCTGGGTACTCCGGTTTCCTCCTACACCAAAGACCCCTGAGCGTGCGCTGAGATAATGAAAATAAAAAATAAGACTTGTCTGCAATATTAGGCTACCTTTGGTGGAAGGACGTTAAACACTAGGAACAACAACATTCTCAGTAAAACTGTTGAACCTACATTAAAGCTGCTCTTTGGTAATATATAATTGAAATTAAAGATGGTAAAATAAAACTACATTTTTATGCTAACGTTTTCACCCTGATAGCGGCTCTTTTGGCATTTATTAAACAAATATTCAATTAACAATAACCTATGACGTCACAATGTCGTAGTTACATGATAAAATTATTATACAGGCAAGGGTAGTTATTTCTTAGCCTACAGACTACAAATATTCAATCCCACCACGGTATTTATTTTATTTGATTTAAATATTCTCTTATTTAGAATTAAGTTTCGGGTCGTACTTCTCAATAAAATAGCTTTCTTTCTTTATATAGAGAAAAAACACTAAATTTGCCCCACCCCACCCCCACATACTTCAAGATGCTCACTGAGCGGGATCATCCTGTATTTTGGTTGAAGTATGTGCTGTCGATGGAAGTTCATTCTCAACCTAAGCATCATTTTGGTCTTTACTATCTACCTTCCCTTGCATCCCGGACATGCTATAAGGTAAATTACATAGTTCAATTGGCAATTCATTGCCTGTTTGATATAAAATATATTATAATCATTAATTTTTATGGATGATCCCTAAATGATAATGTCACAGGTTTTACAGTTTGAATTACCACATTTCAAAACTACTGGTATTGAAGTGACTGAATCATATTTAGAACTGTTGATTATATTTGTTTTTCCTCATAATTTTATCCATCGTTTGGCTATTTTTAAGGATATGGATGTAATTTTCAGTGATAGATTTCCCATTTTCCTGGGACGGTTTGAATGTAGTAACTAAAGCAACGTTCCTTTTATCAGAGCTTACAGGAACTTTAGGTTGTCTTAACACGCTTTGATCCAGACTCGATACTCTTTGGTTAATTTACCTGGATATTTTTATTTTAATAACAAACCGTTTAGTTCCTGTAGTCTCTGAACTTTGACATCTTGATTTGGACACAATTGTACAAATTCGTCTAGCTAGGTTATATGGGATGTTTCTCTTTCGTATGAGAGGGGTGACAAGAGTTAAAATTTAGATATTGATGTGTATCGTTTTTTTTTGTAATACACATCAGTTTCAATAGAGCCGTTCTCATGTAGCTTAACTGTCACATCCAGAAAATTTAATGTGGTTTGACTCTGATCAATTGTAAACTGAATACTGTTATCTAAACTATTTAACATTTAGTGTTTTTCCTTTACATAGACTTAATAGCAAGAACAACGACCTCTTGAAGGCAAAAGAAAGCTATTTTATTGAGAAGTACCAACCGAAACTTAATTCTAAATATACATACACACCTGTCCAGTCTTCATTAATATATTTAGAAACACTTCCTGTTTCGTATTTAGAGGGGTGTTATTGTGCAATAGACATGGTTGGCACCATATAGTCTGGTTGTAGCTGACATCCCATAAAACTCCATTTGATTCATTCATTCTTCTTATCTATATGATTATACCAGTGATGGGATTTCGCCCGTATATATTCCGGACATGTCCGACGCTATTTTCAAAATTATCTGACCAGGAATATGCCCAATCGAACATCAAGACATGGTGAATAATATTCAAAATTCCAAAATTAATATAGTGTACTGAGTGTATAACTACCACTCAACCCGATTATCGGTGATAATAGGCTGGATTGATTAGGTAATTAAGTGATCAATGTATTTATCGTCTTATACCGTCTATACGCCTACCTTGATTAACTACTTAATCTGCTTTGATTGACTGACTTAATCCTTTGTCGGATAATTCATCAATCTAATCTTAAACAGAAATCATTGCTTCCCCTTTGTCGGACTATTCATCAATCCAATAAGAGTTACTATCATTTTAATCTACGTGTTTACCTCGTGGTTTCTCCATTGTCGAACATTTTAATCTCATTGATGTGAGCCGACAATATGTATAAACTAATCATAAATGTCACATATTGTAAGAGTATATAACACCCAAATCAATATATTATCCGTTAACTTGTAAATCAATATATCCGTTAATTTGTCTGCGATATCACTTCGGTGGAAGCGGACGTTAAATAAAGCTATTTCACACACACACACACACACACACACACACATGGTTATAATACAATAATCGAAAACTAAAGTAGAAATCTTGCGAGATGCGTGAAATTACAAGAGATGTAAACGTGACAATTATCATGTTAACTTATAAATCAATATATCCGTTAATTTGTCTGTGATATCACTTCGGTGGAAGCGGACGTTAAATAAAGCCATTTTACAGAAACACCCACATGTGGTTATAATACAATAATCAAAAACTAAAGTAGAAATCTCACGAGATCTGTGAAACTACAAGAGATGTAATCGTGACAATTATTACTTCGGAGGAAAGATTCTATTTTGATAGCATATTCTCGGGTTTATGATAATATTTTGAATGGGGTATATGTTTAAAAAAAGAAATAAACAAGCTGAGAAATGTCAACAAATATTTCGATTGGAATTCGACAAATATTTCGATTGGAATAGTGTACATGTAAGTAGTTAATTGTTTTACACGATAGCGCATGTGAGTGCTATTATTTAGCAGATGAAGTCACTGGCTCGATATCGTGGAGCGACGATCACTGCCAAAAAAATTTCGGGATGTCTTTTTTTTTTTCACCTCCATCCATATAGAAGTCAAAACGTAGTATAAGACGAATGCCGGATTTCTGCTGAAAAAAATATCGACTTATACCCCAGAAAATACGTTAATTTTCGAGGTGATTTTGAACAAAAGTACGGGTCGACAGTTTCCATTCTATCGTATTACGACAACACGTAATTTTGTAGGAATATTACTGACACAAATTTGAATACCGTATGGGAATTAAATATGAAAAATAATGAGGCACACCTATTTTTTTTATTACGTACGAATTTGAATATTTTGTTGAACCGTATGGGAATTAAATATGAAAAATAATGAGGCACACCTATTTTTTTTATTACGTACGAATTTGAATATTTTGTTGACACGTGATTTTTAATTGTGGTCTGAAACCGCCTGCTTAAATAATAAGAGTTATGCCCCTTTATTTTGAAATCCCATCACCGGATTATACCCTTTTTGTGCAGAAAACTCACCAATCAACTAATACACACTGTGTTATTCACTTTTAACCTCCCAGTTAACAAACCCACTCAGTAGAGAAAACACACCATCTCAGAGATTTTCACCCCTAGAGATAATTAATTCACTTTTCAGCCAATTTCTTACCTCTGTTAATTAATACTAATAATACACATTATCATGATTTTAACCAATGAAATATCCATTTTCAATCCTTTCTGAGAAATAGACCTATAGAGCTAGATTTATATATAGAAAACGTACAGATCACACCTTACCTATTTCCCAGTGCTGTATAATGCAGCTGTTTGGTAAATATTTTCTTGTATGGTTCTTGGTCATATAGATATATTCTCTTATGTTTGTTACAAATTAAGGTAACTAGGTTATTAACAGGAGATTTATTAGTTTTTATACCCACTCCGTCTTATTGTATGTCGCATGCAATTTATTTCAGGTTAATTTACCAGATTTTGATAAAACTATTTTTTTTCCTGCACCAAATGTCAAGAAAACAAGGTAGGATTTTTTTAGAACTGAAATGATTGAAAACAATTGTTTTCAATATTTTCTTTGTGAATATTGGCGAATTTGTTATAAATTAAATCCCGGTACTTTAAAGTTTAGATGACAAATATGAAAAAAAATGGATTATAAATAATTGAAGTATTTATTTTAGTGATAGGCGACCATTTGATGCTTTACATCCAGAGATACATGATACAGTTCTAAATGTGTTGGAGAAAGAATCCTCTTCTGTGTAAGTATATAATACATGTTATGTTCATTTTTATACGTCCACATTATGAATGTGGACATATTATGCCGTCGCCCCTGTGTGTGTGTATGTATGTCTGTGGGTCTCCTATAGGGCGCAATTCTTACTCGATTTTCTTCAAACTTTGTATACTTATTCAAGGGTGATCCCCATTGTTTTTGGTGCATGCCCGACCCCAGGGGCAGAGCCACGCCCATTTATTGTATTTGTTTGTCGTCTACAGGCCGCATTTCTTAACGTATTATCTTGAAACTTCACATACTTATTCTTTGTACCCATAGGAACATCCCTATCATTTGGGGTGCATGCCTAATCCCCAGGGGCAGAGCCACACCCCTTATCTTTCTGTGTATCACCTACAGGCCACAATTCTTAAGTGATCATCTTGAAACTTTACATACTTATTCCTTATACCCTAAGGATGGTCCCTATTGTTTTTGGTGCATGCCCAACCCCCAGGGGCAGAGCCATGCCCATTTCTTATATTTGTTTGTCGTCTACAGGCCGCATATTTATTCTTTGTACCCTAAGGAACATCCCTATCGTTTGGGGGGCTTGCCCAACCTTTTATATACCCTAAGGCTGACCATTATTATGTTTGGTGCATGCCCGACCCCCTGGGACAGAGCCACGCCCAATGTTTGTGTTTCACGCACAGTCCGCAATTGTTAACAGATCATTTTGAAACTTTGCATACCTATTCCTTATACCTTAAGGATGACCCCTATTGTTTTTTGGTGATTGTCCAACCCCCTGGGGCAGAGCCATGCCCATTTTTCTTTGTGTCTGTGTGTGTTGCCTACAGGCCACGATTCTTAATGGATCGTCTTTGAACTTGTGATATGTATTCCTTATAGCCAAAGGACAACAACTGCATGTCCCGACACCCAGGGACAGATCCACGCCCAATGAATCAGCTTGGTACTTGGCATATATATTCCTTATAGCCTGAGGGTAGGGTGTCAACTATTGATTTTGGTGAATGCACCGACCCCCAGGGGCAGAGCCACGCCCACTTTTTGCCTTTAGCGCCTGAAAGCCAAAATTCTGAATGAATTATCTTGGTATACTTATTCCTTATACTCTAAGGACGGTAACTATGGATGTTGACGCACGACCCCCTCCTCCAAACCCCCTGCACCCCCACCCCATGCCCTTTTGGCGGTGCCACTTTTTGTTGATATTTTGTCTGTAAATGATATACAGGTGGCAATTATTAACAGATTTGGATCCAATTTGGAATGATCCAGCATAGGGTTGTACCTATATATATATTGGTCCATTTCCAACCCCGAGGGGCAGAGCCATGCCCAATTTTTGTGTTTTTTATCTACAGGCTGGCATTCTAAATGGATTATCTTGGAAGTTGGCATATTTATTCCTTATCCTGTAAGGATAGCAGCTATTTATTTTGGTGCATGTCCCGACCCCCCCAGGGTTGTGGGACCACACCCACTTTTGTTAGTTTTTATCGGTAAATACTCTACAGGTTGCAATAATTAACAGATTTTGTTCAAATTGAGCATATCAATCATTTCAATAACAGGGCGGTGCCTATTTATATTGTTCCATATCCAACACCCAGGGGCAGAGCCATGCCCAATTTATGTATTTATCGTCTACAGGCTGCAATTCTGAATGGATCATCTTGGAACTTTGAATATTTATTCCTTATTATAGCGTAAAGACAGTAACTATTTATTTTGGTCCCTGGGGCAGTGTCACACCCACTTTTTTGTTAATATTTTGTCTGAAAATTTGGCAAAACAATCCCAATGCCTAGCCTTCTTTGCCTCTTGTCATATTACAGCAATTTCATATTTCATTCTCTTCATTTTAAAAAGTACCATATCAATCAAAGCAGGAATGTGAATGTGGACGTATATTGCACCGTTAGCAATGCTCTGGTTTTATACACCCACCAGTCTTTTTTGATATCAAAAAATATCAACACAAGTTGATAAAGTAACGAAAAACGAGGCTCTGCCGAGTTTTTTTTTACTTTTTCGACGAGTGTTGATATTTTTTTATATCAAAAAAGACGAGTAGGAGATTTTATTTATCACCCAATCCCTTCTTACATGCACAAATAGATAAATATAATTCTTTGCTGTAGATTTCACTTTTACTGAACATTACGGCATAGTGATACATGATTTTTTGACAGCAATTCAACCATTGCAAATCCTTTATATTGACCCAGTGTTTCCATCAAGGTCAATTGAATAACAATAGTTCATTTTCAATAAAAAAAACGTTACTTTTTATAAGAAATGAACTGTTCTTTGAAAATAAAAAAAAGTAGTTCCTATTCAACTGACCAATCAAATTCATGTAGATTATGAAATTTATCGGGGGGTTGGATGGCTGAATGGTTAGCGCTGTATCATAAAGTCTGTCATTGAGTCGACTGGCGTGGTTTCGAATCCCCGGTTGTACGTGGCAAGCGAATTATGTAAATAAAATTAAACCATATGTTAGTCCCGAAATGACCTAGTTTGTGTCGAGTGGACGTTAAACCCCATTTCTCTCTCTCTCTCTGAAATTTATCACACAAGCGATAACTACTGTAGAATGTATTATTGGGTGATAAACAGATATATGGTTATACTGTATAATTACATGTATATGATGTATATGTATATGTTGCAAAAGACAACATTCGGTAGCAAATGCAGTTGTAACATACAGATATGTTCATTTAGGGGGCGATGGTCACAATGAAATGTGTTTTGTCAAATGTTATTGAGTGCTTTGAATGCCTTATAAATGTATAGAAAATAGAACAGATAAAAGCATACTACACACAAGAATGTGGTCCTGGTTTTGAATTTGTTGGTAATATATATTGTTTTATGTTGCATTTACTCCTCCCCACTGTACCTACTTCGAATTCAAATCCTCATCCAATCTACCCAAAGCTCGATCTTTATTGTCCCCCGCCTTTTGAAGAAAGCAATGGACTATTAAAATGGGTTCGTCCGTCTGTTTGTCTATCTGTCTGTTTGTCTATCTGTCTGACTTGGTGTTGGTGTTTATTAAGTCAATGCCTTGATGGAGTTCGAAGATAAGTATTTTCTGCTTAAAGTAAGCAGAGACAAGCAATTTGATTGGTTGATGCTTTGGGACACGATAACTTTAGTTCTAATCAAGTTAGAGTGATGAAATTTGATGTATAGTTTTATTACATCAATACTTTGACTAAGTTCGATAATGAGCATTTTCTGCTCAGGCTAAGCAGAGTGATAAGCAATTTGATTGGTCGAGACTTTGGAACACAATAACTCTCATTCTAATTGAGTTAGAATTTTAACACTTGGCGTAGGTGTCTAATTAGGTGAATGCCTTGATGGAGTTCAAGAGAGAGAGAGAGAGAGAGAAATGGGGTTTAACGTCCACTTGACACAAACTAGGTCATTTCGGGACTAACATATGGTTTAATTTTTATTTCAATAATACGCTTGCGCGTAGGGGTCTTTAGCAGTGGGAGGAAACCGGAGGATCCGGAGAAAACAAACGAGGTTGGACAGGCGACCCTACTCCTTGTCACGTACAACTGTGGATTCGGGGAGCCACGGTGGCTAGGTGGGTAAGGCGCTGGCTCGCTAGCTTGGAAGTCCGGTATTCGATCCCTGCATTCGCCGAGAAAGCTCATCCTGATTTTCCGACGTGGTTTCCCCTTGTCAGTGATGCAGGAGGACGGAGGGCCTGACAAGGACAGCTGTCTAGTCCTTCGGATGAGACGAAAAACAGAGGTCCCGTGTAAACATTGGAATGCACGTAAAAGATCCCTTGGCAGTTGGAATTCGATATAAGAGTAGGCGATAGTGCCGCTGCCCGGGCAAAATTTCCCTCATAGCACACTGTATGGCGTATGCCCGTTTTCATTAGCCCAGTTTAAGAGCAGAACAGTAGGACGTTAAACCAGTGATGGGATTTCAAAATTTTTCTTGTCGGACATTTTACCGAAAATAAAGGGGCATAACTCTTATCGTTATTTAATCAGACGAATTCGTACCACAATTAAAAGTCACATGTCAAAATATTCAAATCCCGTACGTAATAAAAATAGGTGAACCTCGCTATTTTTCATAATTAATTCCTGTACAGTATTCAATTCATACCACAATTAAAAACCACATGTCAACAAAATATTCAAATCCCGCACGTAATAAAAATTGGTGACCTTGCTATTTTTCACACTTAATTCCCATACGGCATTCAAATTTATGTCCGTAAATGTCCGTAAATTAAGCATTTTCGTAATATGTTGAATTAGCGCTTGTATTGCCGATCCTGCTTCGGCATCAAATTCACAACCATAATATTCCTTTAGAATTACGTGTCTTCGTTTATACGGCAGCAAATGAATGCAGAACTTCCGAAATAGTTAAATCACTTGTAAACAGGCATAGCTAACTTCAGCGAATAACACTCTTTCATAGTCACGACAGAGTGATAGGGATCATAGGCAACACAGCAGAATGATTGACATGCTTCTTAATTCCCGCCTACAAATACGTTAGAATTTCTGCTCATATAGCTATTGGTAGCCCCTCCCCTTTTTGTTATTTTGCTGGGTGCGTACTAGTCTCGGTCACCCAGAAACTCCTAGTCTTCAACATATTCGTAGAATATTTTTCTGGATAATAGAGACTAATAGCCTACGTGACTCACATCACACGGCTTCATAGTAAGCACTGCCTAATAATATGTTAAGCAATATTCGTGCCGCGCTCGAGATCAAGGGAAAGTGCCACGCCACTGTGGATGAGAATTTCTATATGGATTCTTAAAAGACGTAAAAGATATCGTAGACAAAATGACTGTCCATTGATTTAGGGTGTTATTTACTCTTACGATATGTGACATCTATGATTAGTTTATTATAGATGATGTTGGCTCACATCAATGCGATTAAGATGCCCGACAAATGAGAAACCACGAGGTAAACAGGTGGATTAAAATTATAATCATTCTTA